AACTGTGTTTCACTGGTGCTGGTCCTTAAAAGAGGAACATTTCTTCTAATGTTCCTCTTCGCTTTCTTGGATCATCTCCTGTCTGGCATTGCAAGGTTAAATTTTAGACATTAACCAGCATTTAACCTCTAAGAATAGCAAAGCTGACTTAAGGCTTTACCCTCAATGGAAAATGCAACTAATCCTGCCATTTTAGCATTGCATTTGTTTGCATGTGTGAAATATAACTATTGTCATGTATAAATCTGGGTACCAATGTTGCATTTTCTTCTTATACATTTTAGGGGAACTTTAGATTGAAGTAGGTAGATTCAATTTCTGAAAGACAGTCTAAGAGTTCTGTTTTCATTTTAGCTTCAATATAGACAGTTGAATAAAATCTGGAAGAGAATTAGCTATAACATAGATGTTTCTTAATATCATAAAAGTAAATTCCTTATCATTGTCATAGCAATGTAATTTAGCCATTTTGCTATTCATTTCCTGAAGAACATAAATGAATCTGCATACAAGAATATGAACTTGTGCATATTCTGATAGGGAGGGAAGGGTGAAGTGGATGCAGTCAAGTTGAGAAACATGTGGATTTGAAAAAGAAACGGAAATTGGGAGAGCAAGCCTATCACGGGATTGCCAGATTTTGTTAGGGGCCCATTTAAGGCTACAGATGATAATTTATACTTTCACCCATCTGTCCTACCAGGATGACTCTTCTCAGCAGTGCTCAATATGATTCTTTATTAAAATGATAATCGCAGTTGCTTGGGTGGTATTTTCTTTAAGCCTGGTAATAGGATAGCAAGCAAATTATAAACTAAACATTAACGATATGGTTAAAAGCAAAGGCTCTGGAGTCAGGCCTTGGTTTATTATCTTCTGGCCTCTTCATCTAGCAGCTGTAAAACTTGAGCAGGTTCTCACTGTGGTAGTTGTGGTTATAGGATGACAATTGGTTATGTCCTTTTGTACACTTATCTCTTGAGGGTCTATCATATTCATTTATATAGATGGAGGAAGAGAGCCGGAAGACAAGTACCAGCTAATACCTGTATTTTTTTTTTTTTTAAGATTTTATTTATTTATTTGACAGAGAGAGACACAGCAATAGAGGGAACATAAGAAGGGGGAGTGGGGGAGGGACAGGCTTCCCAGCAAGCAGGGAGCCCGATGCGGGGCTTGATCCCAGGACCCTGGGCTCATGACCTGAGCCAGAGGCAGCTGCTTAACCAACTGAGGCACCCAGGGACCCCTCTTTTTTTATACTAAAAAAATGTATGTATCAGAGTAGAACGCAAAGTATGTTGAATTTTAGTGGTTAAAAATAAATGTTTCAAGATTATCTTTGAAAAAATACTTCAAGGTGGGCCTCAGGAGACCCTTCCTATTTTTTCTTCCTCTGTTCCTGAAAAGACCTATATGCATTTGATTTTTCATTAATTCACAACTCAAATGAACAGTCACTGGCTACCCTTGTTAAGAGTTTTGGGGATTGTGTGAGGATATAATGAGACACTGGAACCTGAGTAAACTAGGTAGCCATTATCCAATAAGCAGTTAACCTACAAATGTTTGAAAAACTTCAGTGTTATCAAGAGGAATTTTGCTCTTGGTTTTGAAGAAAACACATTAGTTCCTTTTGTTTTCATAAGTTAACAGTGAATTATAAGTAATTCCAGATACAGGAAGAAAAACTTCATTGGTGTAGATAAGAGAGCCATCTGGCTCAAGAACTCTGTTTCAGGTAGGCTCCGGTCCTTTGTGTGTGGGTCTCTTTGTCATGACTGCCCTTGCAAATATAGAGATGTACTTGAGTTACTTCCTTTACTGTAGAACAGTCATGATAGATTATGAATTCATTGTACTGAGGCTTTAAAAAATATTTTCATCATGATTTTATACTAATTGAAACTTTTTAGCATTCTTACCTCTTCATTGGTAATTCAGTAGAAATAAGTGGCTATTCTACAGTCCGACCACTGGGGGGTGTAGATTATTTTCATTTTTGTCTTAAAGTCTGAATATAACTTGTGGTGTAAGTACTTCTATTGAACCAATGTAGCTCAAGCTCAGATAAGCAAATCTCAGGTTAGGAAGTTTTAAGTTAATTTTTATGTCTTCTTAAAAAGCCCTTTAATACCTGGTCTCATATACTTACAGGATTACTAGTAAAAAAAAATGTATTTTACTAGCATCATTATCAGCTGTGGAGTCAGAACAAGATTCTGACTCTTCTGATTAGCATTTTAGCTTTGTTTCCTTAAGCTAGACTTTTTTCTGGAAAGGGTTAAGTCTAGGAAAAAAGACTTCCAAATTCTACTTAATGCTTTTTTTTTTTTAAGGTTATTAAAGAAGCTGTCTAAAAGTAAAAAGTTGTGTTTCTTGATATTTAACCATTTATTATATTTGGTTGTAGACAAAAAGTTTGACAGTACGAAGCGTTTTTCTTTGAAAAACCATATGGATGATCAAGAATTATTGGTTGTGGTTTTTTAACTATTATTGACCGAGTCCCAAAAAGTGCCACCACTCAAATGATGGGCCAGAACCAGAATGTCGGGTACCAACTGGGAGTCAGGTTATCCACAGATCACAACAGGGGGAAACTGGAGGTATGTAGCTCTTACAAAGTCAGTGTTTGGAAGACGAGCTCACCATATCCGGGTCCATGGTGCATGCTCACTTGCAATCAGAACATTCTGTGAGTCATCAGTCCAAACAGTGAAACAGTCAGTACCAAGACTAGCAGGAAATTGAAGTGACTGGCCTAGAGCTTGTTTGTTTTGTAAGAGGCATTTGAGGTGAAGTTTGCCTGAAGAGAGTTCGTACCCATCAACCTTTGGCTCTTGCCTCTCTTCTCTTGTTAGCTCTTTATCTTTTCTTCTGGTTGACCTTCATCCTCCTTTCCCTAGCACTTTGTCTTCTGGTCTTAACCTGGCATCATGCGAAAAAGCATTGAGCCAGAAATTGTGTCTAAGTGGGTGGACCTTAGACTAAATTCCTGATGTCTTGCTGGGCCTCAGTTTACTCACTTTTTAAAAAAGATTTATTTGAGAGAGAGCACAGGGGTGGGAGCTTGGGGAAGGAGAAGGAAAGGGGAAAGAATCTCAAGCAGACACTGCTAATCACAGTGCCTGAGGCAGTTCAGTCTCACTACCCTGAGATCACGACCTGAGCCAAAACCAAAAGTGGGACGCTCAACCAACTGAGCCACCCAGGCACCCCTCAGCTGACTCACTTTTAAAATGGATAAAGTTTTTTTTCTCTTTTCCTTGTATCTTTATCCCTCCAATTGCCCTTCTCCTTAACAGTTTTCCTTTTCTCTAGTCATTCCATCTATATATTTTCTCATTTCTTTCCAGTTTTATTTCCTCTGCTCTTCCTTTTTCTCCCTCTCATCTTCTTATGTAGTTTCTCCTTAATCTTCTTTCTCGTTCTCTTTTACTTCCCGTTGTCCCTGACGTCTTATTTCTCCTTTTATTATTTTCCCATTGGCAACCCCCCCAATATCAGTTTTTTTTCTTACTACCTTCTGATGCTGGAGATCTAGAACTGCAATAGGACATGGAGGGAAAGGTTTAAATGGTTACAAATTGTGTAATATTTAGACCAAAAAAAAATCACTTTTAAAAGGAATAATTTGTGTTACCCGATGTATACTGAGTTAGATCACAAGCACCCATGGGCACTTTCATGATGTACTGCAGGCTCACATTAATGTCCAGTAGGCTGGGCAGCAAGCAGTATAACATACTAAAGGCAAGATAAATTTTTTGCCATTTCTCATATTGGTGAAATTTGTTCTTAATTCTGCCATTTAGTATTTTTATTATATGTTTCTTTGTAGTATATTGCTCTAGTAAACATTACCAGCCTCTCTTTACTTGGCCAGACACTTGTAAATACTGGCTTTTTGTGATGTATAGAAGTAGAGGAAAAAGTTTAGTAATTTGAACATCATTAAATTTGTGAGGATCAGCTAGCATATTGTTGATAAATTAACTCAGTGCTTTTATGGGATGATGAAAAGCCCTGTCATCTTCATTTCTTCATTAGTAGAACTTTGGCTGAATGTCCTTTTTTCCTCCTCCTTGTTCTCAAGGTTGTCTCAGGGCCCTTAGGTAGTGCTTTGTCCAAAAGAAATATAATGGGAGTCCTATGTATAACTTTAAATTGCATAAAGTAAAAAGAAAAAAGCATTTAATTTTAAGAATATATCTTATTTAACTCAGTACATCCGAAATATTGTCATTTTAACATGTATCTATATAAAAAATTAGATTATTTCACACACATTTTGTGTGTTTTATGCTTACAACTCATCTCAGTTGGTTCAGGCAGTATTGCAGATATAGCCACATTGTAATGAACAGCGCAACCCCAGACAATTGTTTTGAATAAAGTAGTATAATTTTTAATTAAAAACAACATGTTTTGTCCATGTGTGTTAAGTATGTTTTTGAGTTTTAGAAAAATTCACCTGAAGTTACTAGATGTTGACTTATGGAAAGACAGAAATACCAGGAATGTTTGAATTTTACAATGCTGCAGTGTCATATTCTTAAAATTAAATTGTTTAGTATTATATGTTAATATTTTATCATGCCGTAATTAATATTAACATATAATTTATTATTATAACTTTTTCATTATTTACAGGGCTTGAACAGGCTGTCTTCCATCCAGAATTGTGAAAATATATTGAGTCATGCCGATAAGATAAAAAATTGTTTTTGAATTCTATAAAGCATCTATAACGTGCTGTCTTAGAGAAGCTTATTGATACTTAGAAAATATATGTAAACTATTTTCCCTCAAATGATTACTTCTCTATATGTATAACTTTTATTTCTAAAAATGAGGTTGTGATTGATTTGGAGAATCATTAACTCAATCCCTGTCCTGTGTGGTGGAAGCTTCAGTGACCGTCATGTGATTGGGCAGGACTTGGTACCTATCAGTGTAAACACATGGCACAGCCTGTCCCATGCCCCTCCTTATCTCCTTCAGAGAGAAGGGGTTGAGGCGTTTTGAGCAAATCTTATTGGTAAAGTCGTGTATGTATTGCCTTTTTTTTTTTTTTTTTTTTTTAAAGAACCATTTCCTTTCAGTTTTAACCGTATTACTGTGTCGGCAAGCAGTTTACACTCAGTTTGTCAGCAGAGCGGCTTTCTGTTTTGGTAATTTAGGACTGTAACTTTGTTTCTGAAAAAAAGACATGCTTGATAAGCTAGTTCAGTTTTAAGATGTTTTACTTAGAAGATGATAATAAATATGAGGAGGAGGAAGAGAAGGTTCATGAAGACTCATTAAGTAAAACTGAAGGTGTTTACCATGGGAAGGCCCCTGCTGGTATCCTGGTGAGTTACATGCCCCAATGTCCTGTTGCCTTTGCTTGCTTGCTCAATCTGGGTAGTAATGAAAGAAGAGGGCTAATACCTTTTCTTTGGAAAATGTAGCACTGTAATGGATTTTATTAACTTTTAACGTTACATTCAGCAGAAATATTTGGTACCTGGTCTCCCTCATTCATGCTACACCATCTTTTTACTTTTTTCTATTTATTATTTGAAAAATAACTTTCTGCCTAGAAAAAAGTGAGGTTGCTGCTTTAAACAGAATTCTTTTAAAACTAGGTATCAAACTAAGCGTGTCTGGTTTTACATTTTTGCTTCTAAGTGCAGTAGTTGAGGAATAAAAAACATTAAAAAGTTTTATGGTTTTTACTATCCTAGCCAAAATTGTTTGAAAACTGAACTAATATTTTGAAACTAGCATTTTATTCTGATATATGATACAAAAGAGTGACTGCAGTCTTTCTTTCTCCTATAATTGCAGACAAAAAAATATTATAAGCTTGACATGCAGGGAAAATGCAAATCGAGGTTTTTTTGTTTTTTTTTTAAATCTGGACAAAATACAAAATCATATAAAAGTATAAGTTCTAGAAGTCAGCGTTAAGGAAATAAAATCAGGTAAATTAAGGACAATATAATTTAACTCTACCTGTGGAACCTTTTCCTTCAAAAATAATATGAAATAAATACCATGAGGTAAAGGTATTTTTTAGGAAATTAAGGATATATGTTTTTATGAAAACAAGTGTAAAAAACAGATAATTTCTAAAATCTGTGGCTCATAATCAGGTTGATTTTAAAGTTATATAAATTTTTGTCACCTTTAAAAATGTTATCACATTTGTGTGCTTTTTGCTTTTTGTACTTGTTAATGAAAGTACTTGTTCGGAGTTCTCAGAAACTGATGGAACTGAACATTGTTTGAATATGAATGGAAGTCAGATATACAGAGAGAAGCAATTTACTTTTGAAATTTCCTTTTTAATAGTATAGAGTGCATGTATATATGGATTCATCCATATTTCTTGTGAAGGTCAGAAGGGAGAATAGTGGATATAGCTGAATCTTTATGAAACATATAAAAATTCTTTTATTGAGTAACACACACACAAACCACCTATCTCAGGAAGAAGTTCTTATGCTTCCTGATTTTGGTGTTTTCTAGAGAGAGGTTAACAAGTATTCAATTAGACTGCCTTTTACTAACAGTTCCCTTTTATGTTAATGTCAGAACATCGAAGTCCCATGAGTCACCTCCTTGCTCCAAGAGAAACTTTGATTTTCTGAATGGCTAGTGTTAGGGACGCTAGATTTGATATCTGTTTTATAAGCTGAACTGATGATGTTGAGAGTTAGACTTTATAACTTGGGTGTGTCTGTGTGCGTGTTTGTGGGGGGTGGGCACAGGGGAGAGGGAAAAACCTAGTTTTCAGAGTCCAAGCCCTCAGTGACCCTGACATTCCTTACTATTCATATACTGCCTGGGTGAATGTCTCCATCTGAAAGGAGATGATTTTATGTGTTTGGAACATAAATGTATAAATCTAATAATTTAAAAAACAGACGACTTTTGTGCTTTGTTAGAAATTAGGAATTGAAAAAGAAGTTTCCATAATTTTTAAACAAGTGTAGATAATTCCTTTTGTTGAGGAAAAGGCCACATTATTTCATATTTTAATATCCTGAAGTTCCAGAATAATCTGCTGGCCTTATTTTCCACCACGTTTTTTTAAACTACCTTGGTTGCATTTTTAAATTAGGGTGGCATGTACTACAGGAGTGCTTAGCCAAACTTGGAATCCTAGGAAGTGCTTCTAGAATCAAGTCTGTGTGTGTGGAGACTCTAGGTGGCATGTGGGTATTCTTATTAGAGATGAGAACCTCATGCACAGAGGCTGTGAGACCTGCTAATGGGGCAGAAATAAGAACTTGACCTTGTGTCTGCATGTCCTCACCAGCTGCAGGGAACTCCAGGAAGCAAGAGGACATTGCTTCTCCATCCTTGTCCCTCTGCTGTATCAGAGGACCTGGGTGTTAGTGTGCTCAAGTAAAAAAGTGTTTTTGTTTGTTTTTAAGAGAGAATTTTATATGTTTGTATTATTTATAGCAAGATTTACTAACAAACACGGTGGTAGAAGATAGCAAGTCACCCAGTAGGCAGGGCGTGTGGCTTGGGGCAGTGTTCATGTGGAGTTAGGAAATCTTCAGTGGGGGATGAAGAAGCCTCCCCTCGATCCCCCCACACTTAGCACATTTTGTCATTACTTCCTGCTGCCCAAAATTCTAGAATAGCACTAGGTGAATGGGTCCAAAACCAAACACTTTTCCTCCAATCCAACATCAGGAGTGTTCACAAAATTAAGTATTTAGTTGCATAGAATTTTATTTCCTCTCAGAAATGTGGTGGTATTACTAGGTAGGGAGTTTGGGGGAGTAAATTCTCCTAGAATCTGTTTTCACAGCTCATTTGTCTCTTTAATCCGGGTGCCACAGATGAGCTCAGGAATTTTGTGAAGAGTAGCATAGAGGCTGTGGCCAGAAATGTGTCTAGGCTTTTTGAAAATAATTTATTATCCATTTTTATATTTATGCCCCAATCTGTTGTCAGAAATGACTTAGAGACATGCATACACACTACCACTCCATAATACTGTAGAGTGCATGACTGAACTGTTTATTTAAAGAAAACAGTTCTTTTCATTCAAATATAGATTATACCACTCTGGTTCTGATCGATATGGACAATTTAGTTTTTCACTTACTAATATGTCTGAGGTATTTGCTGCTCTGAGTTTGGGAGTAGCACAACTGGACAGATTTCAGCAAATGTCTATATAAATGCTGCCTCTTTTAGTTTGCCCACATACTTTGTTCTGATTACATACTCCCAGTTAGCTGAGCTGTTTCACGCAGTTGATTGGGATGATCCCAGTATTGCAGATGTGATCCAGATGCTGGTCAGGCAGTTTTGTGCATAGGAAAGACAAGATGGAATCCCATCACTGTCTTTAAATGTCACATGAATCCGGTGTTGGTCCAGTCTACAGGATTTGGACACAACTGTCTGAAAGGATCCAAATAAAAATCTTACCTCTTGGGAAAAATGCTTATTATATAATATTTTACATTCACATCTTAGGTATTAAATATTCAAAATCAACCCATTTGTCCTGAAGAAAAAATTTTAGATGCCAATTCTAGAGTAGATAATTTTTGTGTTTGTTATACATTCTTATCTAATTGAAAGGGAAAATAGTTTTTATTGGTTATTTTTCACTCTTGCTGCTTGTTCTAGAAAAACCTGCTGCATAATCTAGAATCATTGAGCTCTTTTACTTTGCTTAACCCAGGATACTTAGGGAAGATATTTTTCAAAGGATGGAAATAGTAGTATTTCTGTACTGATCTGATTTTATTAGATCAGATTAGATAGTAGTATTTCTGTACTGATCTGATTTTATTCGATCAGATTAGATAGTAGTATTTCTGTACTGATGTGATTTTATTAGAGTACCATTTTAACTCTGTGATAAATTCCTGTTTTTAGAACTTGGTATACTTTTTTTTTTTTTTTTTAATTCCTTTGGAAATGTGGGAAACCATCCCCCCCCCCCTTTTTAAAGATTTATTTATTATTTGACAAAGAAAGGCACAGTGAGAGAGGGAACACAAGCAGGGGGAGTGGGAGAGGGAGAAGCAGGCTTCCCGTTGAGCAGGGAGCCCATGCGGGACTTGATTCCAGGCTCTGGGATCATGATGTGAGCCAAAGGCAGCCGCTTAATGACTGAGCCACCCGGGCACCCCCTTGGTATACTATCTTAATCCTGGCTGTATCTATGTAGAAAAGACCTTTATCAGACATTTGCTAAAGCGAATCCCAAGAAAACCTGAAGGGAGAGCTGTGTAATCTCTAGAACGTTACTGCATTCTCTGAGACTTATTTGAACTCCACTTGAACTACAAATAGGCCATAAGTTAGAGGCAAGGGGTAGTACTTAAGATTATAAAAGTCATTTGTCATCTTTTATATTCTAACAAAGCATTAAGTAATGACCTTTATAGACTGATAATTCAGAACTTACTGGAAAAGTAATTCCTTTAGGGGAAGTGAGGCAAGAGAGGAATAGGAAGGACACCCTTCAATTCTGTTCACTCCGCATGCAGTGAGGTTTTCAAGAGGGGACTGTGCATTGATTCCCTTGCCTGTAGTCCACAGACACAGCTTGATAAGCTGCCATTTGGGGGTCTGTTGGGGCTTTAAAAAGTGCTTGTACTTATAGTCCAGGGGCAGTGACCTGGTCATAAGGATTCCTCAGAGCTCCTCAGTGATTCAAGTGACAGCCAGGGATAGTGATTCCCAAGTCAGACCAACCCCTGGAACCCTTACTGAACTCCAGATACACACCAACCAACCCCTCCCCCAAAAAAACAAAACAAATTTTTCAGACAATTAAAGGGGGTATTGGAGCCTAGAAATTATTTTGCTTTTAAAACTAATCTACAGAGCACCCGGGTCAAGCATTCAACTCTTAATTTCAGCTCAGGCTATGATCTCAGGGTCCTGGGATTGAGCCCGCATCAGGCTGCGTGCTCAGCGGGGAGTCGGCTTAGGGATTTCTGTCTCCCTCTGCCCCTCATATCCACTGCTTGCACTGGCTCACATGTGCTCTCTGTCAAATAAATAAATAAATCTTAAAAACAAACAAACTAACTAAACTATAGACTTTATTCTATATTTTTTGCACTAAAGTCCTTTTACTGTTTTTGGGATCAAATCCAAAACCCCAACTTACATTTGGTAATGTCACTGTAGTGTGCCATTGACAGTTCCTCAGTCTTTCCTTGTGTTTTATGACCTTAACTCTTTCAGTGAGTACTGATCAGCTATTTTGTAGAATTTCCCTCAGTTTGAGTTTGTCTGGTACTGTTTCCTAATTAGATGGAGGTCATATATTTTTGGGAAGAATCCCACAGAGATGATATCATATCAGGAGTTCCATGAT